GTGTTAGTTGAAGGTGATGATGATTATTATTATTATGGACAAAATAAATCAGTATGTTCCTCATCTCAAAGGTGAGGAAATAAGGAAGAGTCCGTGATTAAGAGTCCGCCATACAATACATGATACAATCTTACAACACGTGCTAAATTCTTAGAATAATAGAGGTATGTACAAACTAGTATGGGATCACAGAGGGGGAAGGGATTAATTTTGCAGGTAGGGTGCACAGAGGAGGTTGGGCCTTGAAGGTAAGGTAAGACTTCCCGAGACAGGAAAGGATATAAGAAACAATATGTACAAAGAACATAATGGATCCTGGGAGCATTCATTCATTCATTTATCCATCAAATAAATATTTATGGAGCACCTTATTGTGTTAGGCACCATTCCAGTGATGAAAAAAAAAAAAAAGCCTATCATTATTCTACCTTCGTGTGGAGCTTATCATCTAATGGGGGAGGTAATAGACAAGTAAACAAATAAATACGTAAACATAAATGACAATTGGTAGTACAAAGGAAGAAAGCAAGAGGAAGAGGATGCTGAGGAAGACTACTTACATGCCTATGGAAGTTCAAGCCTAATGGACAAGAAGAAACAGATATGCAAATATGGTGAGTAGAGAGGTTCAAGCCACAACACAGGACCCCATATGTACAGACCCTGAGGAGAGTACCGTGCATCTGGACTGTAGAGTATGTGATGTGAATGCTGAGCTATTAGAAAAAGGGTTTTATATGGTTTGATATATTTCAGTTAATTTTTCAAAAGGATAAATTTTCTGCGCCAGGTCAATGATTCTCCATCCGTGTTGTCTGATCATATTTTGTCCCGTTATTCATTCTGTCATTGCACTATCTGCCCATCACTGAGCTTGAGACAAAGACCTAAGAATGCATCAGAGCTGTTGCAAGGTCCAATCAGAGCCCGGGTCAGGTGAGAGCAGGAGGTACCAGATGAGGATGTCTCACCAGATGAGACCATTTATAGGAAAGCAATGTAAATTATCTCCCGTCATAACAAAATTTGAAAACATGTGGCTTTGACATTGTTGCCGGGCAGCTAGCGGTGAGCAAACAAACAGGATGGTGAAAAACTAGAGATCCTTGTTATGCTCTGACCAACCGTTAGGTAAAAAACCGTCACCAGCACCAACTCAGATGGCAGATCCGAGTTGGCAAAGGGGATCTGAGATGGCAAAGGGGAGAGCGATTAGGAAAAAGCAGTGATGAAGCGGATTGGCTGTCCTTCGCTGTTTTTTAGTGAAGTACCCTGGAAAATAGTTGAGGGAGACAAGAAGAACTGTTTTACAAATAGGTTAACACAGCTTCGTTACAGGACTTGTGCTGGGCCCTGCAGCCCACTCCTTCTGTACCCCAAACTGCAGGAAAGTACCAGGCAGAATCTTTCTCCAGAGTCTCCATTAAGTAACACTGGCCAGACAATGGGAGTAGCTCAGCAGAAAAGATGAGAAAAATGTTGTTGCGTTCTCACTTCAACTTGTCCCAGAAAGCATCCAGGTGCCTGCCTTTAAGGTGAGGACCGGAGGTATAAGCAGAGACTAAGTCAGATGCTGCTGGTTTAACAACTACAACAAGAGTAGACTTTTGGCTGTAGTTACTTCAACACAAACTAACGGGAAGCAAACAGAACAGAAACCCACCATATTTTGGATGACATTTTATCACCTACGTTGTGGGCACCCCTCAGACGGACCCCCTAACCCCAAATTCGGTTTGGATGTCAAGACTAATAACCACCCACACATCAAGAGGGGACAAAGAGGTTTATTACTCACATAATGAGACTTTCTGAGGAGAGCAGGGCAGTCCCCACACAGGTCCAAAAACAAGTTGACTGGTTTGGGGTTTTTTTTATTCTTAGGATATAAGGCTGGGAAAAGGGTTCCTGGCTTGCAGGCCATGCTTGTGTGGTTTGAACTTCCCACCAGGCCAAAGAAGGAGGCACCCAGCCTCTCCAATCAGCTTGCCCAGATGCCTAGCACAGGGGAAAAGGGGAATAGGAAGGAGGCATAAAAGCTGTCAGCAGTCAAACATAAAAAATGGAGCCAGCCTCTTTATCACAGCCAAATAAACTATAATCCAGACCTACAAAAGCCTACGTTTGTTCAATCCCTAAGGAAATCTAGGTCTACAAATGTGGGTCAGGAGCTTGCAAAAGCTGTGATAGACCTCAAAAGTTTCAGATGTGGCTATGGGTTTAATGAGCAAGAATTTTCTAGAGGCCAAGCCGGGGGTCACAGAGTGACAATGGGTAAGTTTCTCCAAGACCGCAGATTTAAGGTTTAACCAAGGAGCTTATTTCCTGGGGGGCAAAGGATCTTTGTAAGCCCTGTTCAGAATTTCATTAAGGAATGGGGCACTGATAGCTATCCATCAGTCCCAGCCTTTAGTAGTCTTTCTGTCCCTTTTCCTTTGAGAACTAGAACCTTTCCCCTGGAGTTTTAGTAGAACATATGTCTATCTAGCTGAAGAAAACATGGGCCAGACTTCCTTGAAGCTACGTATAGCTATGTAGTAAGTACTCACAAATAACTGTGAACAAAAGTAATGGGTGAAATTTCCTTAAAAAGAAAGAGCTAGCTCCCAACTTCCTCGTTTTCACAGGCCGCAAAGCGGATGTGATTCTTGGAGCCAATTTTGACCACGGAATGAATGCCTGTCCTTGGTAATGAAAGCAGGGTAGAAGAATCCTGAGTCCCTCCATTACCATATGAAACAGAGCTTCCTTGGACTTCTCTGCTACCTCTGGACTGCTATGAGGAAGAAATAACTCTCATGTGAGCCATCATATTTCGGGGTCTCTGTTACAGCAGCTTTGACCATTTTCTCATTTCTATGAAAAGGAGAATTAAAATATTAAGAAGCTAAGCTTCTCTACCTTTTGATAATCTTAAAAATTGACTCTCCTTTGTTCCTCTGGATTTTAGCTTTAATGACAAGTATAAAGAGCCTCAAATTTAACTGGCTATAAGCAAGACCTTAAAACTACATGTGACCTCATGAATTCAATGTGTTTCTCTTCTTTTTGAAAAATGAACCTATGGGGGCTCTTGGGTGGCTCAGATGGTTGAGCGTCTGACTTCAACTCGGGTCATGATCTCACAGTTCATGAGTTCAAGCCCTGCATCAGGCTCTCTGTTGTCAGCACAGAGCCTGCTTTGGATCCTCTGCTCCCTCTCTCTCTCCCCATCCCCTGCTTGCCCTCTTAAAAATAAACATTAAAACAATATTTTTAAAAAATCAACTTACAGAATACAGTCATGTATACTTTTGGGGTTTCTAAATGGAGGTATTAAATAACATAAATGTATGAGTATCAAACTGATAAATGAAAACTCAGATCAATGTATGTCAATTTCCCTTTTTTCCAAGACACCACATATGTCCATGCACTATTTTTATCTATTCTCTGTAACTGATTGATCATAGATTATTGGATTAAGATAAAATGGATAAAGGAGACTTCCTCTCCCTCTATATAACACAAAGATGATGATTTTCTCGGCTTTCCATTCTCGAGTCACTGTGCTTCAGATCGGCTCATGGTGTTGCTAAGACAACAGGGATGCTGCAACAGGAAACTGGCACTGAAGTCTCAGAGGATGGAGCTGCCTTAAAGGATGTCGTCAGTGGTGTGTTCAAGGCCTTTTTCACAGTGAAACTTGTAACATTGGATTCGAAAAAGTGGTCATACTCATCCAACACCCTTCCATAGAAGACCATGGCTCTCTCAATTACTTGTATTCTAAAATTAAGGAGAAAACAGTATGTGACCTAAAAGCCCGGGGCCTATCATTTCACTAAGATGTATCTTTCTTAGAACCCTGAACAAGTACTGTCCTTAAATTCCAATGCACCTTTATTCTAACAGAAGCTTGTTTGAAGAATAATAGAAGAAAAGCAGAAAGAAACCATATCATCCAATTATTCCTTCACTTAAAATGTACATCTCAGGGCACCTGGGTGGCTCAGTTGATTAAGCGTCTGACTTCGGCTCAGGTCATGATCTCACAGTTCGTGGGTTCGAGCCCCGCATCAGGCTCTGTGCTGACAGCTAGCTCAGAGCCTGGACCCTGTTTCAGATTCTGTGTCTCCCTCTCTCTCTGACCCTCCCCTGCTCACGCTGTCTCTCTCTCTCAGAAATAAATAAAAAAACATTTTAAAAAATGCACATCTCATCTACACAAGGGTTTGATTCTGTCTGGTAAATACCTGGGTAAGTGTGATATTCACTGATACCTGTGACTGATATTTGGAATTTATGTTTATCACCAGATGCAAGGAAGTACGGTCTCCTCGATGCCCTTGTGATAAAGGCACAGGGCGCTCAGCGGCAGCACTGATGAGCTCTGGGTTGCAGCGCCAGGTTTGCCCAAGCAAACTGAACAACCGCAGCAACATTCATGTAGTACTGAAGGCATCAAGGCAAGGACAAAGAAAATAAAAACAAAATACTTGAGCTGATTTTCAATATTTTTTTTCTGAGCTAAAAGATAAAAGGAACAAAAATAGCATTTAACTGAGCTGAAACATGTCCTTCACATCATGTCCATTCTACTGCACAGAGATGAAATCCATCAAACATAACATGGACACGTGAGTAAAGGAGCACAGTGCTCTTAGAGCTAAGACACACCTTGTTCAGAACCATCTCTCACTCTTAAGAGATAATCTGGTGCAAACTAATGGAGCGGCAAAGGGAAGTGCTGGAGAATATGTGTTCCCCATCTTTGAGGGTCCCTTGATGAAGAGTCACAGGAATGACTGAAAGCTGAGTTAATGATGCAGTTTTCCTTTTTCAAGCAGGAGTCAGAAGGTATTCTTCAATAATGGAAACTGGGGATCATATTATGAGCTCAAAACTTGGGCAGGGGACCTCATCTTTAAGTAGAAGTTTCATCTAGCAGAATCAAATGAAACCCACCAGCCCCTTCTTTAAAACCGTGGTGTTCTAAGCATAAAAAAAGAAATAGGAAAGAACACGGACCACTCTCTTTTAATGTTTTTAAGTAGCATAAATCATAATGGTTTGTATACTACACTGTACAATTATATACTGTTACTTTCCAAAGAAAATTAACTTCTGATAGGATTTTCTGAAATGGTTACTCCATACAGTTGAGAGCTTGACCCTTTGGCCACCGCTACAACACATGGCATATGATCTATGAGGTTCCAAGTCTTCCAGTTGTGCCGGTCTCTGCTGCCATCGAGGGAGGAGCCTCTCAGAGACCTCTCATAGGCCCTTCCACCTCCTGCGCCAAGAAATAGGCTCTGCAGGTAGATGTGTGCCGACGGGTGCAGCTTCTGTGCTTTGCTTTCCACAAGCCTACTCCCCTTTAAGAGAACTTGCGCTTCTTCATGGCTTCTGCTTTGACTGCCAGGCTCTTGGCGCAGATGGTCAGGACCACAATGAGAACGCCCACCACAAATGTCACCAGGGGCCAGAGAAAGCAATGCAGGAGGACAATCTCATCATGCGTGCGATGCAGGAGCACATCATCTGGTCTGCAAGACAGTGGAGAATGGGAAAGAAAGAGTGGTCAACTGCCTTGGCATGGCATAAATCTACCACTGGGAGCCTAGCTTCCTTTCTGGCCTGAAAGGAATAATCAGCATTGAAAGTGAAGACTTTGCTCTGGCTATAAATACTGTATTTTGAGGTTCCAATCCATTACAAAAGTTTTGAAGTCTTGAATAAAGCAATTGCTATAAATTTGCATATTATTTATAATATAATTTACATGCTGTGAAATGTCAAAAGGGTAGCAACCTTTTATATTACTATTTTCCTGCATTTTAAGTTGTCTAACGTATTCCGTTTTCCCACTCACCCTCTAAGGTCTGCTGGTCAAAGTGGCATGCATCAGTCCAAAAAATTACTTGTGGGTTGACATTCTTAAACCCAAAGTAGCCCTCAGCACTTAGGAGGGACCCAAATGATCTTAATTCATAAAAATAGTCAGATAAAGTCACTGTTTGAATTTCGACAGAAAGATCTATGGTGTTGCCTTCAGGTCAACTCAGCTCTATTATCTGAAGGTTGTTCTTTTTATTAATGAAGAGACGAGTAAATGGTTAGACTTAATGCATTTTTCCACGCTTCTGGGTGGGATTAGTCATCGTTTAAACCATTGACTACTTTCTTAATAAATTTTGCAAAGGCCTGGAATATATTTCTATCTTACCAACACGGGGCCCTATTTTCAACTCCAGCACTGGTCTGGTTCTTAGGAAGTGAAGATGAGGTGTGTTCCACAAGCCGTGATCTCGCATCTCTGGCCATTAGAGAGAGAGCCTGGGACTTTAGCTTTCATACAAGAGGTTTACATTTTGGGAGATATTTGCGTTTCATCCCCGAGAAGATTTGTTCTATTTAAAAAAATTTTTTTAAATGTTTATTTTTGAGAGATACAGTGCAAGTGGGAGGGGCAGAGAGAGATGAGGGACAGAGGATCTGAAGAGGGCTCCATGCCAACAGCAGCGAGCCTGATGGAGGGCTCAAACTCACGAACTGTGAGATCATGACCTGAGCCAAAGTCGGACGCTCAACCGACCAAGCCACCCAGACGCCCCAGGTTTGTTCTATTCTCCTAGAGTAGTAGTGCTTCCTCCAGACAAGCAAGAAAATGATGCAGAACAATTAAATTCACTGCCCTCAAGAACATCAGAAGCCTTAGAATACAAGGGCAGTGCATTTAACAAAGAAATGCCTTCCTGAGGAGCTCTCACTGATCACAGCTTTCATAATACAAGACCTACTTTTCCAGAAGATTAACAAAGCGTGTTGGATATTTCTCTTCTACCTATAATGCAGCCACCATGCTGCATTAACAAAAACAGCTTTGCAGCTTAGCTTTGAAATTATATAATCCTTGCCCCTATTTTGTGCATAAGATCATTTCAGATTTTGCACATTAAGTGAGATTTTTATTGACATTTTATTGCATATTATTTCAGTTAAAATTTGTACTAAATGAATGCAGAGTCATTGTAACAATTAAGCAAAAAGCGTTCCAGCTTGCAGAAGTTACTCTTTCTTCTGAATTCCTGTAGCAACACGTTGTCTTCAAGACCTGTGCTATCACTCCTCGTGATATATGGTAATGTGCATATCCTTTTCTCTTGGAAGGCCCTTGACTTTGTCATTGTCTGTTACTCTACACATCAATGTTGCTAAATAACCACTTGCCAGCGATGACAGGGAGACTGTTTCTGTTACAGCATGTTACCCATGCAAAATTTCAAGAAACGTCAAGCCTTGAGTGTAGACAGTAGAGGCCTGGGTCCAAATATAGTCAGGGCACAATATAATTGAAGTCATATTTACAGTCTTTAAAATCCCAGCCCCCAGCACTGCCACCATTATTTTCCCAGCCATGAGAACTCACAGCTGTCAGCTACCCCTACCTGAGTGTGCAAAGGAAGTAAAAGCTCTCTTGGTTTCAGATCTCACATTTAGGTCTTTAACCCATTTTGAGTTTATTTTTGTGTGTGGCGTGAGAAAGTGGTCCAGTTTCATTGTTTTGCATGTAGCTTTCCAGGTTTCCCAGAACTATTAATTAAAGAGACTGTCTTTTTCTCATTGTATATTCTTGCCTCCTTTGTCATAGATTAATTGAGCCAATAAGCATGGGTTTACTTCTAGACTCCTAATTCTCTTCTGTTGATCTATGTGTCTATTCTGTGCCAGTACCATACTGTTTGGATTGCTACAGTTTTGTATTATAGTACATCTTGAAATCTGGCATTGTGATACCTCCAGCTTATTCTTCTTTCTCAAGATTGCTTTGACTATATCAAAATAAAAAGCTTTTGCAAAGCAAAGAAAGCCATCAACAAAACAAAAAGGCAGAACACTAAATGGGAGAAGATATTTGTGAATGACATATTCAATAAGGGATTAATATCCAAAATGTACAGAGAACTTATATAACTCAACACCAAAAAGTCAAATTAATTAATAACATAACCCGACTAAAATGAGCAGAAGACCGGAACATTTTCCAAAAAAGAAATATATGTGGCCAACAGACACCTGAAAAGATGCTCAACATCACTCATCATCAGGGAAATCAGAACCACAATGAAATATCACTTTACACCTGTCAAAATGGCTAAAATGAAAAAAAGACAAGAAATAACAAGTGTTGGCAAGGATGTGGAGAAAAAGGAACCCTTTTGGACTGCCGGTAGGAATGTATATTGCTGCAGCCATTGTGGAAAATAGTATGGAAGTTCCTCAAATAATTAAAAGTAGAAATATCATATGATCCAATATGGGTATTTGCCCAATAGGGAAACAATACTAATTAAAAAAGATATATGAACTCCTATGTTTACTGTAACATTATTTACAATAGACACCATAAGGAAGCAGCCTAAATGTCCACTGACAGAAAAATGGATAAGGAAGATGTGGTGTAAATATATACAATATTATACAGCCATAAAAAAAGAATGAGCTCTTACTACTTGCAACAACATGGGTGGACCTAGAGGGGTTTATACCAAGTGAAATAAGTAGGGCAGAGAAGGACAGAGAAAGACAAATACCATATGATTTCACTCATATGCGGAATCTAAAAAACAAAATGAAAGCATAAACAAACATAAAGTAGAATGAGACTTAATAATACAGAGAGCAAACTGATGATTGCCAGGGGGAAGGTGTGTGCGGGGGATGGGCAGAATGGGTAGAGGGCAGGAAGAGGTACAGGCTTGCAGTTATGGAGTGATTAAGTCATGGGAACGAAAGGCACAGCATAAGGAATATAGTCAATGGTATTGTAATAGTGTTGTATGGTGGCAAATGGTAGCTATACTTGGTGAGCGCAGCGTCACATATAGAGTTTTGAATTACTGTATTGTACAGCTAAAACTAATGTAACATTGTGTGTCAACTATATTCAAATAAAAAATAAACTGCAGTATTACTGATTTTTTTTTTAATGCTGTCTTGGGATGGCCTTCCTTCCTCATTCCTTTCCACCTTCCCACCTTCCTTTCCCCTCCACTCTCTTCCCCTTCTTTCTTGGAGGGTTCTACACCTCTAGAATCTATTGGTGCAAAGATGAACTAGATTCTTCATCAAAAGAGTGAGGGTGTATAATAACGTAAAAGCACTTAACACCATCAAGCTGTACACTTACAAATGGTGAAAATGTTTAAAAAGGGAGGGGGAGGGAGGGATAACTTGTATTTTTAACACTATTTTAAACAATCTTCATGTAATTTCCATAAGTGTTTTGTGGTTAAGGTTCCAGCAAAATGTTTCAGTGAGTAGCCTCTTTTGTGTTCCTTCTCGAGTCACTAATACTGATATTAAATCCTTTATCACAATATTGTGCAATTGAACGCGGAAAATAGCCACAGATGAGGTGGTTGGAACCACTAATACATATTTCCTGAAACACTTAATAAAGAAATAATGCAAGTAAAATGGAAAGGAGGAGTGAAAATAATAACTGAAATGCTGGACCTGGATTTTTGTTTTATTTAGAAACTTTTTGGCATTCCACCTGCTATGAGTCCTTGGGGCAAAATTTTATTTTAATATTTCAAGTGACAAAATATCATTCACTTGAGATAGCTATGTTGAATTTGTAGTAGATTCAAAAGCATTCTTTGAGGCAGAAATATTATATAAAAATGTTCACATTTCTTTAAAAATGATTAATGTCTCTTTACATTTCATAAGATGACCCTAGCATTCTTCAATGGGAAGGAAGGGTAGCAGAACATACCACTTTGGCATAAGGATTATTTTGAGCTGAAGGTAATTGAAAAGAAACATATAAGAAAAGCTCTCTGCCCTCCTATTTGCCTAAAAGCAAGACATAAATTTTTAACGGTCTCCCCCTCTCTTCCAGGAAGGACAAAAGTTAATTATTGGAGATAATTCTAGACCTTTATCAGCCCAAAACTGGCACCAAAGTAAACTATATAACAAATCTTCCTAACTAGCTCTTATTTTCCATCAGTTCCCCCCATGTATTTGCCTTTCTACAATTTGCTGCCCTAGAAACTCAAAGTCCTTTTCCTTTCCTTTGACTTATCACTTCTCTAAATATGTGTTGTCTTTTTCTTAAAGATGCTATATAAGCCCAAGTTCTAACCACCTCTTTGAGTTATGCATCACTGAGTGCTTCCACATGTACGTATGATGCACATGTTAATAAACTTCCCTGTTTTTCTTTTGTTAATCTGTCTTTTGTCAGTCTAATTTACAGAGCCCTAGACTATGAATCCAAGAAGAGTAGAGGTGTAAGTTTTTTGCTCTCTATAGGAAAAACTGATTTCGCACACAGTAATGCTTAAATTCATCATTCAGTTAATAGGATTTAGTGAGATTATCTTTAAGTTGATCCTGTGACATAATTAAAGTCTGGTTCATTTAAACTGGGACTTTATTTTCCTTTTTTAAACTATTTTTTAATGTTTTATTTATTTCGGAGAGAGACAGCATGAGTAGGGGAGGGTCAGAGAGAGAGGGAGACAGCATCTGA